GAATATGTGTGTGTTCATATGTATGCGTGTGTGTGCATGTACATATGGGCGTCAGAGGTCCGATGCAAGTATTGTTTCTTAGCAGCTGTCTGCTTTTTTTTAGTGTGTCATACTGTATGTGTGCGACATGTGTGAGAGAGTGGAGATGTGTGCACACCGCAGTGAGTGTCTGGAGGGCAGAGGACAGCCTTTGGAAATTAGTTCTTTTCTTTCACCTTTTATTCCTTAATTTAAAAAAAATTCAGTTATGCGTATGCATATATGTGTGTGTGTTTGTGTGTGTGTGTGCACATGGGTGCACAGAGGTATTGGATAGGCTCATGTGAGCTAGTGATGTGGGTGCTGAAAACAGAACTCTGGTTCCCTGCAAGAGAAGAATGCAGGCTGGGCACGGTGGCATACGCCTGTAATCCCAGTACTCTGTGAGTTCAAGGCCAGCCTGGTCTACAAGGTGAGTTCAGGACAGCCAAGGCTACACAGAGAAACCCTGTCTCCACCCCCCCAAAGCAAACAAACAAACACAGCAGAACACACTCTTAGGGAGTCATCTCTCCAGCCCCACACCTTGTTTTTGAGGCAGGGTCTCTCGCTCTGCCGCTGCACTGTATATTCTAGGCCAGCCGTCCCTGGGGGCTTAAGGCCCATTCTCCTGTTTCTGCCTCTCACCTCGCTGAAGAAATGCCGCTAACAGATGTGTACTGCCACATCTTGTTTTTACTGAGCTCTGGGAACTGTGCTGAGGTCATTAGGCCTCAAGGCAAGCATCTTTTCCACTGAGTCCTCTCCGTGGCCTTGTTTTGTGAGAGACAGTTCTGTCTCTGGCCCCAGCAATCCTCCTGCCTCTGCCTCCCCAGCACCACAATTACAAGTGTACTTACCTCGTCTAGCTTTCTCATACGGGTACAGGACCCGTCTTAGGCTCTCGTGTGCAAGCACCTGACCCACCGAGCCTTCTCCCAGCTGCTTTTTTCCAGTGGTTTTTGTTTTTAAGATTGTCTCACGCCGCTCTCTAGGTCTAGCTGGCTTCTACCTCACAGCAAACCTCCTGCCTCAACCACCCAGCGTATTGGGATTACAGGTGTGAACAACCATCCTCAGATGGGACAGTTTTTTTTAAGTGATACATTTTAGCAAGGCATGGTGGTGCCCCACATTCTTAATCCCAGCATTGGAGAGGCAGAGGCAGCGAATTTCTGAGGTTCCAAGGCCATTCTGGTTTACAGAGTGAGTTCCATGACAGCGGGGGCTACATAGAAAGATTTCCCTGTCTCAAAATACAAAACAAAATAAAGAAGATATATTTTTGTACCAATTCTTAAAAATGATTTATTCCTATGTGTTTAGGTATATTATCTATATTATCTGTATACATATCTGTGCACCATGTGAGTGTTGGGAAGGCCTAGGGGTATCTCATCCCATAGGGCTGGGGGTACAGGTGGTTGTGACCGCCATGTGAGGTACTGGGACCCTGACTTGGCTCCTGTCGAAGAGCAGCCAGTGACTGCTGAACCATCTATGCAGCACAGCTCACTTTTAATTTTTATTTGTTTGTGCACGTGTGTGTGTGTGTGTGTGTGTGTATACACCACATGAGTATGGTGCAGTGTCCACGGAAGCCAGAAGAGGGCAGATCTCCCGGAACCGGAGTTACAGGTGATTGTGGGCTGCTTAATTTGGGTTTGGGGAACTGAACTTGGGTCTTCTGGGAGAGCAGCAAGCACTCTTGACTGACTGAATTCTGGGCTGGGCCATCTCTCCAGCCTGAGACAGTGTTTTTAAACAACACTCTCATTGACGTGTGCTGTAGCAGGTTTTATGTCAACTTGACACAAGCTAGAGTCGTCTGAAAGGGGGGAACCCTAACTGAGAAAATGCCTCCATAAGATCCGGCTATCAGGCATTTTCTTAAGGATTGATGGGCGAGGGCCCAGCCCTTTGCGAGTGAGGCCGTTTCTGGGCTGGTGGGCCTGGGTTCTGGAAGGAAGCAGGCTGTGCAAGCCAGAATGAGCTTGACAGTAAGCAGCACTGCTCCGTGGCTGCTGCAGCAGCTCCTGTCCTGCCCGAGCTCCTGTCCTGACTTCCTTTGATGAACAGTGAGTGATATGGAAGTATGGGCCAAACAGGCCCTTCCATCTCCAACTTTTTGGTCATGGTGTTTTATTAAAGTAGTAGAAACCCTAACTAAGACAGTGTATTCGCATAAACAGTTAGCCCATCTAAAGTCTGTGTTTTGGTGATTTTTAATTTATTTACAACTGTGCCACTATCTATCATTCTAAGCAGTTTGGGAACATTTTTTATCAACCCTGAAGACACCCTCATCTCTAGCCTGTGTCCCTTTTCCAAGCTCCCCAAGTCCCTGGAAGCTCTGATCTTTCTATTTCTGTAAATTGTTCTAGACATTTCATGTAGGTGGAGCGAGATAACATTTGGCTTTGTGTCATGCTCTTTATTTTTGTTTTTGTTTTCCGAAACAGGGTTTCTCTGTGTAGCCTTGGCTGTCCTAAACTCACTTTGTAGGCCAGGCTGGCCTTGAGGTCACATTGTTTTGTTTTTTATGACACAGGGTCTCATGTAGCTCAGGCTGGCTCCTAGCTTACTCTCTAGCTGAGGATAATTTCAACACCTGATCCTCCTGCCTCCTGTCTCGAGGTACCGGGATGACAGGCACATGCTCTCATGCCTGGTTTATGTGGTGCTGAGGGTGGAACCCGGGGCCTTGGGTATTTGAAGTGACCCCTTTGCCCTCTGAGCCACGTCTCCAGCTCCTGGTGCAGTGGTTTCATCCATGTTTTGCTGTGTGTGTTGGTGCTACTTTCCTTCTTAGGCCGAGTCATGTTCTAGTGTGCTGGTGTGTCACAGTTTACCTCCTGCTGTAGGGGGACCTGGCTGTGCTTTCCTCTCCTGCCGTGGAGGGCCACCTGGCTGTTTCTGTGCTTTTGTATGTCCTAAACATGGCTGCTGTGAACACACGTGGATAGGTTTTTGTGTGGACATGTTTGGGTTATCTTTGCCAAGGAGAGGAGTTTCTGGGTTTCATGGTTTTTTTTGTTTGTTTGTTTTTGTTTTTTTTTTTTTTTTTCAGTTTTGTTTTGTTGAGATATGGTCTTTTGTATAGCCCAGGCTAACCTGGAACTCCCTGCCTCGAAGTAAGCTTTATGCTTAGCCTTTGAGGAAAGGACAAGCTGTCTTCCAGGAAGACCTAACCCCATCACGTTTCTGTGACAGTGGAGGGCAAAGCTCCTGATTTCTCGGTGTCCTCGCCAGCACCTGTCACTCGGTGTTTGCATTCTGGCTGTTCTGTGGGTGGCATGTGCTGTGGTTTGATTTGTACTTCCTGGTGGCTTGTGGAAGCGGTCTGGGGATTTGAAGAGGTCTGTGGAGACTGCGACTGCCTCATGAGATCTGCAGGCCTGAGTTTCTCAGGCTGGTGTTTTCTGCCACCTGTACCGGCTTCATGGTTTGAAGAGGGTGCCCGCTGCGTGAGGGCAGTGTGCATTGCTCATGCATGCCCACAGAGGACTAGGACCGTCTGCTGTCCTAACAAGGCCTTTATTAAGTTAGGCAGCTTTTTTTTTTTTTTTTTTTTTTTTGTCTGTCTGTGACAGTGTTTCATATAGACCAAGCTAGTCTTGAACTCACCGTAGAGTCAAGGATAACCTTGAACTCATGACCCTTTTTCCTCTACCTCCCTAGTGCTGGACTTACAAGCCTATGCCCCCACATCTGGTAGGTTCAGGTGGTTCTGAATATTAAACCCAGGTGATGTGACAGGGATATTTCACCCTGGAAAAGACACCATAAATCTTCTCAGTCCATGATCATCCTGAGACCAGGTTTGCTTTCTGGGCAAATGTGAGGTTCATGACTTTGGATTGAATCAGCTGCAACTCTGTGTTTAATCTGCTGCTGTTAACAGCCCCTCATGGACTGGGGAGACAACTCAGTGGGTGAAGTACTTGCTGGGCAAGCTTGAGGACCTGAGTTCGAGCCCCAGCATCCATGTAAAGCGCCAAGTACAGCAGCACAGGCCTGTAATTCCAGTGCTGGGGTCGGTGGTAGGGACAGGAGGCTACAAAGAGTGTAAATGCATAGACACACAACAGAAAAGTTTACATCACAATAGTCCCCTGGTGGTTTAAATTTTCACTAATGTATTCATTGAGTGAGTTTGTTTGTGTTTTGCTACAAGACCGTGCTCCAGGTCCCTGCTCAAGATGGCAGAAGCTCACCAAGAGCTGGCTGTAGGCCAGCCTGGAATTCACTGTTTAGCCAGGGCTGCCTTTGAACTTGAAGCAGTACTCTTGCCTCTGCTTTATAAGTAGTGGGATTACAGGATGTGAGCCACCGTGCCTGGCTCACCTTTGAGGGCCTCTAAAGAACTGGCGATTGCTGCAGATGTGGGACGCTTAACTGGGGGCTGGCTCTGTAGTCAGTAGGGTGCCTGCCCAGCATGCCCTGGCATCCATCCCTGGCAGTGTGTGAACCAAGAGCAATGGCTCAGGTCTGTAATGCAGCACTTGGGAAGTAGATGGAGGACGGTCAGAATTTCAAGGGCTGTCGGCCTCCTTACCCTACCCAGAGCATGTTCCCTGAGTCACGAAAGCCGTGCGTGTGTCTTGCTGCCTTCACAAGTGGAGTCTGTGCACTCACCACGGCTGGGCCCTGTTGATAGCTTCCTGTCTGCCGCAGAATATAAATTCGCTGGGACTTCAATTGGGCTCTAACTGTTGAACCATCCCCCTAATCCTGATACTGGTTGGTTTTGACAGGTTTATCAGAGCCTTGTGGGCTTTGGGGGAAGTTACCATCTGATGAGAACACACTCAAATTGAATTTTACTATGGTTCTGCATAGTATTTTTGTCTTTCTTTCTTTCTCTCCTTTTTCTCTTTCTTGCGACAGGGTTACCTTTGAGAGGACCTCCTCCCACTGGAGGTGTTGTTCTCTGGTTTCTGGTGCCAGGCTTCTCTAAGCCATCTCTACCTCTGCTCCAGGTCCCTGCTCAAGATGGCAGAAGCTCACCAAGCTGTGGCCTTCCAGTTCACTGTCACCCCTGATGGCATTGACCTCCGCCTGAGCCATGAAGCCCTCAAACAGATCTGTTTGTCGGGACTGCATTCCTGGAAGAAGAAATTTATCCGGTTCAAGGTTGGTTGCTGGTGTGCCTGGTGCACCTCCCTGGGTCCCACTGAGGAAGGAATTGTGTCTTAAGTGGGTCTCAGAGAGGACAGTAGTCTCCATGCTGACTAAGGCTTGTGGGGGACACTTGTAGACCAGGCTGGCCTCAAACTCACAGAGCTCTGTCTGCCTCTGCTTCCCAAGTGCCAGAGCAAAATGTGTGTGTCCATTAAGAATTAATTTATTATGTGAGGTGTGCTGGTGCACCCCTCCAGTCCAGCACTCGGGAGGAGGCAGAGGCAGGTGGATCTCCGTGAGTTTGAGGCCAGCCTGGCCTACAGAGTGAGTTCCAGACAGCCAAGGCTACACAGAGAAATCCTGTCTCAAAAAAACAAAACCTGAAAGAACCCCCAAAACAAAACAACAACAAAATAAGAGTTAATTTATTGTAAGTCTTGAACAGCCAACAGCGCAGAGAGAAGAGAGCAGCGTCCAGCACCCTCCCGGTTCCCAGAGCCGGGCTTTGAGTCTTGCAAGCCTTGTCTTCCCTAACCGCTCTTCTTTAGACTAGCTTTTGAATTGGCTGGGTGAGATTGCAGTCCAGCCCAATGATCTAAGTTTGACCCCAAGTTCCCCGTGATAGAAGGAGAGAGCTGACTCCCATGAGTTGTCCTGTGAACTCCACCCTTGCCTCACGGTGTCCTTGTATCCACCCGCCCACAGTAAATGAATGTAACGAAAATTTTTCATTTAAACTTGTGCTGGGATATTTTGCAGCAATAGTATGAGTGCTCCTGTAAGCTCATCTTGACTCAGGGACAGGGCAGGAGAAGTTTGGGCACTGGGGTCCCTGACTGCCAGATAGTGGCAGCCTGGGAATGGTACCTCACCGTGCCCAGGCTGTCTGTCACCATATGGAAACCTGTATGGTAAGTCAGGTCAGGGTGTTCCTGTTATCCAGAGTCCCAGGGTGCATTTGGCCTCAGAAGGCAGGGGAGGGAATAGACTGCACGAAGGTGAGACAGCTGTGGATCGGAAGAGTCTCAGCCACTGGGCACTTGGTCCTCCATGGCCTGCACACCGCACCTTCCTCCTGCTGCCTGTTGTCCCAGCTGCCCGTTGCCACAGGGCTGCTGCAGGGTGGTGACGGTGGCCTCTGGGAGGGTGCAGCTCACAGCTGCCATTGCCTTTCCAGAATGGCATCATTACCGGTGTGTTCCCCGCGAGTCCCTCCAGCTGGCTGATCGTGGTGGTGGGTGTGATTTCATCCATGCATACCAAAGTGGACCCCTCCCTGGGCATGATCGCAAAGATCAACCGGACCCTAGACACCACGTGAGTAAACCTCCCCCACCCCATATTTTGGTGGGAAGGTGGTAATACCCTGTCGGCTCTCCGAAGCTTTGGCTGTCCTCAGACGCGAGTGCTCGTCACGTTCCTGACCTGCTGTTGAAATCTTCGGACGTGTGTAGACGCTACCACCCTTCCTCTGCAGATTAGGATGGCAGAGGCCTGGGTACCTGCCTTCCAGAAGGTGTTAAGCTGTGGCAATAGATGGAGCCAACGGTGGCCTCAGAGGGCATCTCTGCCCCAGACTATGGCTCCCTTAATGTCCATCCTATGATCTGATCCCCTGAATTGGCTCTCATTGGTTGCTTAGGGATACTTCAGCCCTTGGCCCCTTCAGAGTGGCTTAGATTCCCCCAGAGAGGCCCATTACCCCTTGGCTTTGAGTTTCAGTTTATTCTGGAAACTTGAAAATAGTTGTCATCCTATTTGGGGACAAAGCCTGGACAGCTTCTGGTTTTTCTTTTCTTTCTTTTTTATTTTATGTATTTAGACAGGGTCTCACTGTGTAGCTCTAGCTGGCCTGGCTATGTAGACCAGGCTGGCCTGGAATACTCAGACATCTACTTGCCTTTGCTTCCTAACCTTAACCCCGGGTTGTGTGTCCCACCACAGCTGGGTCTTTTTTTTTTTTTTTTAAAGATCTATTTATTTTTATGTATGTGAATGTTCTGCCTGCATGTGTGTATGTGTGTGTACCACATGTGTGCCTGGCGCCCTCATGGGCCAGAGGAAGCTTTTGGATCTCCTGAAACTGGAGTTAGAAACAGTTGTGAGCTGCCTAATGTGGGTGCCGGGAACCAAATTCAGGTCCTGTGCAAGAGCAACAAGTGCTCTTAACCACTGAGCCATCTTTCCTTAAAAAGGGTCTTTTGTCCCCAGGGTCTCCTGCTGGATGCTGGACCTGCTAGATCTAGAAGGCAGATAGGGACCATTCTGCACACTCCTCTACTTGTCTGTGATGGGGCCTCGTGCATGCTAGGGTAGTACTTACCGCCAAACCATACCCCGCCTTACCTCACCCCTGTGACAGTCATTCCCATGTAGCTTTGGACAGGTCCCTGACAGTATGGAGTGGCTGGGCACAGGACACAGGCACCTCAGTCATCTTGTGTATTTGGACACATTTTTTTTTTCTTTTGTTTTTCTGAGACAGGGTCTCAAGTATTCCCAGGCTGGTCTCAAGCTTCTGTGTAGCATAGGATGACCTTGAACTTAACCCTCTTGTACAGTGTTGAGGGCTAAGCTCAGCTGAGAGCCCAAGTTTGGTGCCTTTGGAGCTGGGGCCCCTGGAGCTGGAGTTACAGACTGTTCTGAGCCAACCGGACCACGAAAGCTAGGAATAGACCTTGAGCTCAGGACCTCTGGAAGAGCAAGTCCTCTTAACCACTGAGCCATCGCTCCAGCCCAGTTCTGGGCCTTTTCAATCCTGCTTCCCTGTTGTTCAGATGTAGATACTATGCACTTGAAAGGATTGCAAAAGCAAACTGATGAAAGAGTGACCTCAGGGGACAACGCACAGCTGCAGGAGTTGGTTTCTGCTGATTCAGACTTAGTCCTGCTGTGTGGGCATGCTTAAGACAGCCTGATGAGGTCCTTCAGAGCCCTGGAGGACGGTCTTACTGGGCCTTTATGGCCTGCCCTCTGACTGAGACTGCCAGCAGTGACAGAGAGTGAGCCAGCTCCTCAGCCTCCAGCCCTCCAGGCAGCGTCAGTCACGCCTTTGTAAGCAACTGCAGGAGACGAGATAAAAATGCCTGTCCAGGCATCCTGCCAACGGCCTTGTCTGCCTGAGGCCTGGAATATCCAGCAGGGACTAGGTTGTCAGAAGCAGGTGTGATCACCAAAGGTCCTGTTCTGTCCTCCTGCATGCCCTGAGAGGCTAGGAAAGTCCTTCGAACAGATCCCTGTCTGTTGAGCTGGCTGCCTGGCCTAGAGCTGTGGGGCCAACGGTTGTGCTTTGCTCTTAACATGGGCTGTGTCTCAAAGCCGGATTGCACACAGCCATGCCAGCTACTAAAACCTTATTTAATCTCAGTCTTTATAAGATTTGTTTCTTTGTCCCTTGGACTCTATTTTTGTAAACTGGGTCATCTCTGGCCCAAATTTAGAAAGGCCAGGTGAAGGGTCAGTCTTACAGTCTGGAAGGCTGTCCTGGATCCATCTTCCCATTGAGAATGGAGCTCCTGTGTCCCTAGGCTACTGCAGTTTTGTTTTGATTAGATCTGAAAGGAGGATAATAGAGGTTAAAGACACAGCTGAACTTTGCTTTACCTTTTTGCTGTTGTTGTTTGTTTTTGAGACAGTGTCTCTCTATGCAGCCCTGACTGTCCTGGAACGTGCTGTCCTCGTGTACTCATAGAGATCTGCCTGACTCTGCATGCGACACTGTGTAGAGCTTGGATTGTTTTTGAAATTTTATTCTATGAGTATGTGTGGCCTGCATGTATGTCTCTGCACCATGTGTGTACTCCGTGCTTTCAGAGGTCAGAGGAGGGCATCAGATCCCCTGGAACTAGAGGCTCAGATGGTTGTGAGCTACTGTATCTGCTCCCATCAGCTGCTGGAGGAGACATCTGCACCACTCTTGTTCTTCGGGGAGGTGGGGCCTCCAGAGCATAAGTCTGTTACCTGAGAAGAGACTTGTCTGTCACTTATGTATGTTAAGTTTTCCGATATCAGAACTTTGAAGGTTCTATATGCCATTGTTGTAATCATTTGGGGACTCTTAGTTTTTAATAGAACAGCTTTATTTCTTCCTTGACAGTTCCGTACATCAACACAGTGTTTCTTGATCGTATCCATCCCAACTCTCTACTCCCTACCTTTTTTTTTTTTTTTTGAGACAGGGTTTCTCTGTGTAGCCTTGGCTGTCCTGGAACTCACTTTGCAGACCAGGCTGGCCTGGAACTCACAGAGATCCTCCTGCCTCTGCCTCCTGAGTATTGGGATTTAAAGGCTTGCACCACCACTGTCCCACTTTTTTTTTTAAACCTACTGAGTTAACTTAGTGCTCCCCGCTGGAGTGTCAGCTGCTCTGGCCTGTTGGTCCTGCCTCAGTGAGTTCTTGTATGCAGTAGCCGTGTCGTGTCATAGCATGCCATGCCATGTCCAGAAGACAGAATTTCTCTGCTCTCCTCCCTATTCTGCTGCTCCTGCACTCTTCCCACCCTTCTCCTTTGATGTCCCCTGAGCCTTAAAGAGGAAGGGGCTGATTTTTTTTTTCTACTATTTTTCCATTTCCAAAACAACTAAAATAACACCACAAAATAGCTGCATTTTGCCTTGGTTTTTCTTTCATAGTCAATGACTTTGACTTTCAAGTACTTAAAAATCTTAAAATTTTTTTTTTAAGATTTACTTTATTTTTGTTTTTTTGAGACAAGGTCTCATCATGTAGATCAGGCTGGTCCTGAACTCACAGAGATCCACCTGCCTCTGCCACCAGTGTGCTAGGACATTTGAGTTTCTTATGAATAACAACAACATCCTAAGGTTATATTTGAGGGCTGAGGAGACACCTCAGGGGTTGAGCCCCTGCCTAGCATGCATAAAGTCCTGGACGCAGCAAAATCCAGCAAACACAAACAATCTACATTTGAGAGGGTGGGGGAAAGCATTATAATCTGAAGAAAATGGGCCCGGATCCCTGCGAGCAGCAGCTGGCCGTCCCCGCCCACTGGGAACAGTTGCCATTGGGAGCAGCTCTCCAGCCCACAGGAACCTCTCCACCGTTCCTCCAGAGACTGGAGAAATTGTGTGTTGTTCAGGGTGGCTCAGGTCACTGGCTGGCCTCCTGCTTCCTCCTTGGGGATGGAAGGCTCAATGTGTTGCCCAGTCTGGTCCCTGGCCTCTGCCTCCAGAGTGCCAGGCCACTCTGTGGCACCCAGCCACGGCTGGCCCATTTTGAGAGGGATAAAGAACGTCAGGAGAGTTGGTGGGGTCCCTCAGGCTCCCTTCTCTAATGAACCCAGGTCCTCTTTGGGGTGCCACAGCCTGCTTTCTCACGTCCCCCGGAAGGTGCTTGGTGCAACTGTTTTCTGGTTGCCACCAGCACCTCCCCGTGCTGACTCCTTAGCCGCCTGTCCGGTCCATCCCCACAGCGGCCGCATGTCCAGCCAGACGAAGAACATCGTGAGCGGCATCCTCTTCGGCACCGGGCTCTGGGTGGCGGTCATCATGACTATGCGTTACTCTCTGAAGGTGCTGCTCTCCTACCATGGCTGGATGTTCGCAGAGCACGGCAAAATGAGCCGCAGCACCCGGATCTGGATGGTAACCACCTGCTGCTAGCTGGGAGACCCACCGTGGCTGATGTCAGGACCCTTACTCTGTCAGACCTTTCCTCCCTTGGTCCTTAGTGTGTGACCTGTCCCCAGGCTCTGGCTGTGGGAGAGCTATGGCTCACCTTGACTCTTGCACAAAGCCAAGGGTTGCTTTTGCTAATGGTTTCTGGGAGTTCTGCCATCGCTGTGTTCACCTCTGTTCAGCCTGTAGTTCAGGCCGGATATTGAGCCTAAGTACCACCCACCAGGTCTTTGTAGCCTCGGGGGCACTTTGCAGTAAGACACTGGATGTTTTCCTTAGCTGGCCAGATCATGTGATTTACCCTAGGCTCTCAGTGTTCTCTATTTCACCATGACCCTGAGGTCATGGCACCCTGTTTAAGGAAAAGAGTTATGCCCTATGCATGAGCATTTTTCAAGTTACAACTACTTCTGGAGACTTTTGTTTATTGCTTTTGTTTTTTTGAGACAAGGTCTCCTGTCACCCTAGCTGGCCTTGAATTCACTATGTTGCCAAGGATGACCTTGACTTTCTGGTTCTCCTGCCTCCAGCTCAGGCATGCACCTGAGCCTGGTTTTTATAGATGCCAGTGATCAAACCCAGAGCTCCGTGCATTGCTTACCCAGGCAAGCTGCCTACCCACTGAATGGCATCCGAAGCCCCAGCTTGGTTGTTTTAATAAGCTTCGTTTTCCCAGGTAGGGGAGTGAGGGGTGTCTGTCCGAGGTGGTGATCACTCCTGGGACCTTCCCCTCTTTGACACCCAGCCCCCAGCCTTTCCCCTGATTGTGTGGCTGATCACGTATGCCCCCACCCACTTACTGTTAGCCTTTGGCTTCTGGTCTTGAGTTGTTTGTTTTGTTTTGTTTTTAAGAACCAGTAATTTTCTGCACCCATGATTTGTAAAGAATTTTAATGAATCTGGTCCTACTGTAAGTTTTCTTCGGATTGCTTCTCTCTGGGCCTTCCTCTCGGTGCATGGGAGGAGTGGGCTGGTGTGGAGGCCAGGGTGCCCCTCCCTCATCACCTGCACCTGTGAACTTTTCCTTCAGTGTCCCCTTGCCACCCACCACACACTCCACTCTTTTTCAAACAAACTTCTTCCTTGTCTCTGAGTTCTTCGATGTCTAGAGACTAAAACCCAATGCCTACGTAGAGGGAGACAGTTTCCACAGGCGTAAACAGCATCCCCCAGGATGGCCCTTGTGGCTGATACTGAGCTGAGCCCCAGCGCCGAGAATCATCACAGTCTCACCTTGAACCCTTAGAGATGCCCTGGTTTCTGTCAGCAGGTGACCACCGCTTCCTCGACCTGGCCCGCATCCGTCTTTGAGGATGCCGCAGGAGATGGCTCACTCTCCGTGTTATCGACGTAGTGGGCAGGGACGCACGGCTGTCCCTGGGGGTGGCTTGAGGGTCAGGTACCTCAGATGACCTCACTGCCTATAACCAGAGCTGCCACCAGCCCCAACCTAAGACCTTCCGGGAGGAGGCAGCAGCCCACCTGCATCCTCTCGGCCGGGGTTCCCGGCAGAGGTTCCCGGCAGAGGAGGGCAGTCAGCAGTCACACCCAAAGACTTGGTTTTTGTTCAGCCCAGTTTTTACCGGGGCCTGTATCGCTTTACCAAGACCTGATGGCGCAGGGCAGGGGATGGCCCCACCGTAAACACTCAACAAGTCACTCACTTGCAGGGGAACCCTGGCTTTGGCTCCCTAACAAAGCCTCATCTTTGCAAATATAACTTGTGTCTTCAGGCCATGGTCAAGGTCTTCTCAGGCCGGAAGCCCATGTTGTACAGCTTCCAGACGTCTCTACCACGCCTGCCTGTCCCGGCCGTCCAAGACACTGTGAACCGGGTAGGTGTGATTCATCCTCGCGCTGAGACGCCCGCGTCCTGGGGATCAATACTTCTGTCTAATTGTGACTATAAATTACAGTCCTTACTCTTTATTAATGCTCAGCAGTGTCTCCTGTAGGGTTAGTATAGTGATTCACCCCACCCCCACCCCATAGGCCCTTCCACCAGCTAGACAAGTTCTGCCATTGAGTTACATCCACAGCCCTTTGCTGCATGTTTTCTGGATACGGGGTCTTGCTAGCTAGCCCACACTGGCCTTGGACAGTGTCTTTTAAGATTTACTTGTTTTTTCTGCTTTATGTGTATGAGTGCTTGACTTTGTGTGGTTATGTACACCATATGCATGCAGTGCCCAAGGAGGCCAGAAGAGGGCGATGGAGCCCCTGGAACTGGAGTTAACAGACAATGGTGAGCCACCATGTGGGTGCTGACCATAGAACCTGGGTCTTCTGCAAGGGGAGCCAGTCCTCTTAACTACTGAGCTATCCCTCCAGCCTCATGACCTTGAACACTTGGTCCTCTTGCTTTAGCCGCTGGATGATAGACAAGTAAAACATGGCTTGATACTGTTTTTCTCTACTGCATTATTGCATCTTCAGTGTTTAAAGGTTCCATGTCCCACCTATTGGAGAATGTTTACTTTTTTGTTTGTTTGTTTGTGTTTTATTTTTTTGAGACAGGGTTTCTCTGTGTAGCCTTGGCTGTCCTAGACTTGCTTTGTAGACCAGCCTGGCCTCAAACTCAAAGAGATCCACCTGCCTCTGCCTCTGAATGTTTACTTTTTAATGGCTTTATTGAGATGCAGTTCAAGGCTGTATGATTCCCTTCAACGTGCACCACATTTATTATTTTCTTAAAAGGCTGGCCATGGTAGCACAGACCTTTAATCCCAGCACCCAAGAGGCAGAGGTAAGCAGATCTCTGTGAGTTCAAGGCCAGCCAGGTCTGTACAGTGACACCTTGCCCCCTGCCCTCAAGGAAGGAAGTAAATGAGTTAAGGAGAAGGTTCAGTAAAAAGCTTGCCATGTAAGCGTGAGGTCCCGAATTTGATTCATCAGAACCCATTTAAAAATGCCAGGTTTGTGGCCCACACTTGTAATCTCAGTATTGGGGAGTGGGGACAGGAGGATTCCCGTGGCTCACTGCCCAGCGAGCCTAGGCTGCTGAAGACCCTCCTCCAAGGAAGTGGATAGCGCTTGTGAGGACGACTCCCAAGGGCTTCTGTCTTCCAGATAAAAGCCTGCATACGTGTGTGCACGTGCGCTCACGGTGAGCACACACAAACAAACATTTTAACTGTTTTCAGTGTAAGCTCATCAGTGCGAATCACACCGAAGGCATTGTGCAATCATGACCACTGTGGATTCTCAGGCTTTTTTATAGCCTCATGAGGAAGAAGCCGTAGCCGATTAGGCAACAACTCCCACGCTCCCTGCCCCCGGCTCTGCTGACTTCTGTTCCACTTTCTGTTTCTAGTTTTATGACATGAATGGGATTATGTAATAGGTGACTTCTGGGGGTCCCCCCCCCGCTGGCGTTTATTTTCCTTGGAGGCGGGACCTTAGCTGTGTAGCCCAGGCTAGCCTCAGACTTGTAATGCTCAGCTTCCCAAAGCAGGATGGTTTTAAGGTTCAGCCCTGTCCTAGTACGGCTGTGCTTGCTCCCTTTCTGTGGCTGATAACACTCGTTGTGTGGGTAGACCAGTTGTCTGTCCATCTGACGGGCAATCATGGACTGTCTTGTAATATAAGCAGGGAAGCTGGGAATGTCCATGCATGTGTTGTTGTTGTTTTTAATCTGGGTGCCTGCTGCCACAGGTTGATATTGGTGTCCACGAGTGGGATTTCATGTCACGGAGGGTGGCTCTGTATTGAGCCTGACCTGCTGTAAAATGGCTGCACCTTGGTGCATTCCAGCCTGCAATGCTGGAGGGCAGCCACACATTTGTACCTTCTGCCCTCTTTTCCTTTTGTAAATCAAAAACTTACTGGTTTGGGTCCCTGCTTAGTGATTTAGTCCCCGTTGCCCTGGGCAGGTTCCTTCCCATCTCTGTTCTCCCAGACTGGGAAGGGGGTGAGACCAGATTCCCGGTTGCAGCTAAGCTGGGCAGCCACCTGCCTGCTGCTGTGCAGTGTCACCCCTGAGTGTGCAGAGCAGAGCCCTCCTCCCCATTGTGAGACGGAATCTCACGTTGCCCAGACCGGTCTTGAACTCCCTAATCTGCCCCGTGTGTAGCTGAGGATGACCTTGAACCTCTGATTCTTCTGCCTCTACCACCTGACGCCGGGATGGCAGAGCAGCCTTACTACACTGACTTTTCTGTAGCGCTGGGGATAGAGTCCACGGCTTTGTGTGTGCTGGGCAAGCGATCTGCCAGCCTTTCCCCTGGAGAGTGTAGCCTTTGTTTCATCAGTGGCTTGATGCACCTGGAATAAGCCAGGCAGCAGCAGCTGGCCCTCCTCAGGAGTGGCTCCACCCTTCATTGGGTAAAGCTGGCCCTGTATAGCCTTGGTTGGCCTGGAATCTTTCGTGTAGACCCGGCTGTGCTTGACCTCTCAGAGACACCCCCCCCACACCCCTCGAAGTGCTGGGATTATAGGCATTGTACATATAGACTTTATTTCTTGACAAATCAGACTTGGCACCACTCCGCTTCCAGGTACAGGTGGGAGCTCTCGGGGTCCTCAGAAAAGGCCATGCTTAGCCAGGCATGGTGTCACATGCCTGTCATCCTAGCCCTCGGGAGGATGGAGGTAGAAGGAGGATCAGGAGTTCAAGACCAGACTCCGCTGCATAATGAGTCTGAGTCCAAATTAGGCTACTTGAGTCCCTGTCCCAAAAAAGAAAAAATAAGATCGTGTGTGAGCTGTCCCTTTATGTTTACTTCCCAAACCTGCTGAAGGTGTGCACCGGTCACTTGACTGAACAGAACATCTGGACCCTGGACATGGCCCTGGCCTGTACCGTGATTGCCTTGTCCTGTCCTGCTCTGCCAGAGCACCTTCCTGACCCTCACTGGTCTCTCAGGGCTGCCTCACCCGCCTCACCCCACCATCCCAGGTCATCACCAAAGTAGTGGCCAGATGTCTGGGTCCCTCCATCAGGAAGCAGTGGCCTTGACTGTTACTCTCGCGCAGCCCTGCTCAGCCCCGCAGGGGGGCTGTCTTAAGGAAGCTTTTCCGGCCTTTTCTACGAGGTCTGACTTTTCTGAGGTGTGTGGAATGTTCCATGGCTTGCAGGTGGGCATTTAACTGTGTTTTCTCACTCCAGTACCTGGAATCTGTGAGGCCACTGATGAAGGAAGGGGACTTCCAGCGCATGACAACGCTCGCCCAGGACTTTGCTGTCAACCTCGGACCCAAATTGCAGTGGTATTTGAAACTAAAATCCTGGTGGGCCACAAATTATGTAAGTATTCTGCACCTAGATCTTTTCTCGGGTGTTTTCATGTGAAAGTTCCCCTTTCACAGAGCTCTGTCTGTGGCTGAGGCAGCCATACTTTCCTCTGAGAACTGTGCACAGAGCTGCCGGAGGCCTTGCTGTCAGGCTGGCTTCTTTGTAGCTTTGTACCCAGCTCAGGCCAGGGAGCTGCTTTGCACATGAGCTTTTAGTCCCCACCTGGCAGGTCACTAAACACTGTTCTCCAATGGTGGCCTGGCCACCTCACATCCCTCTCTGGTACCTTTTTCATCGGAGAGCATTGCCTCCGAGTTCTCTGGTCTGGGTTCAGATGTGTTGACAGTAGTAACTGTGCTGGGACCAGCTAAGCTTCTGCCTGTGGTGCTGGGAGGGGCGAGTGGGCATGTTGAGGGGTGTCCAGGTGTAAGGAATAACTTGACTGGAAGGTAAGGGATTGAAAATAACCTGTAGCCACCAGACACAGCAGTATATGCCCACAATCCCAGAGCTCAGAAAGCAAAGGCAGGAGGATTGTGGGCTCAAGATTAACCAGGGCCATCTAGTGAGACCAGACCCTATTTCAAGAAAAAAACTCTTAAATTTAAAAAATTATTTGTTTTTATTTATGTATATGTGCCTAGGTGAGCGTGTATGTATTACGTGCACACAGGTGCCGTGGAAACTAGAGGGCGCTGTATCCCCTAGAACCAGAGTTACACAACCAGGTGGTTGTGATCTGCCCAGTATGGGTGCTGGGAAGCCAAACTTCGCTCTTCTGCAAGAACAGCACATACTCTTAACTACTGAGACATCTCTTTAGTCCCTCAAAAAAAAAAAAACAAAACAAAACAAAACAAAACAAAAAACAATCACAAGTGCTGGGAAGGAAGCTCAGTGCATAGAGTCCTCACTCAGTGTGCGCAATGTCCTGAGTTCAACCCCCCAGCACCGTACCTGTTTTGTGGCACACATGCTTATTCCCAGGGCTTGGGAGATAGAAGCAGGAAGATCAAGTTCAGGGCTGTTCGAGTTGAGTTCAGAGTGGGCCTGGAGAGAGGGCTCAGTTAAAAGCCCTTGTCATTGTTGCGGAAGGACCTGGGTTTGATTCTGAGCACCCACCAGTTGGCTCACACACATCCATAAGTCCAGTGTCTTCTTCTGACCTCCATAGGAACCAGACATACCCATGGTGCACAGACATACATGCAGGTAAAACACGCACATGAAAAAAAAATCGTAGCTCATGCCTTTAGTCCCAGCACTTAGGAAGGCAGAGGCAGGTGGAGCTCTGATTTGAGGCCAGCCTGTTCTATAGTACAAGTTCCAGGACAGCCAGGCCTACACAGAGAACCCCCTCCCCCAAAAGGAAAAATTCTTAAAGAAACATAAATAATAAATAAACAAAAACAAACAGACTAGACAAAAAGAAACAGAAAAGGATCCGGCAGAACCAGCAGATGGTACCAGACACAGGCACTGTGCCTGCGAGGGCAGGAGGCCACTCTGGCCAGCATGCTCTGGCCTCATCGTAGGCAGCTGGCCTGCTGTGCATTTAGACTCTCGTACATACCTCCCCAGGCGTACACACCAGCACAGCGCTCAAGGCAGCATGTTGTGAATGGCAGCCTCTGGGTGGCCAGGACAGCTTGGTGGGTGACGTTGCAACGATCACGCCACAGAGCAGAGACAGCGCATTCTGGTCGCTGGCTCAGTGTGCTGGATGAGACATACCTGGGCATCAGGAAGAGGAAGATCAATTTTCGGGGGGACTTGGGGTCCTCTGCAGTGCTGGGGTTGGGACCAAAGCCTGGTGACTATCAGGCGAGCATGCAGTACCGCACCCCGCCTTCAGCCTGGATTCTTCAGCAGTGACCCTTTCCTGGAGACAGTCTCATGTGGCCCCCAGGCTAGCCTCAAACTTGCTGTGGAGCAGTTTTGAACTTGGCTGTAACCCTGAACTCCCGATCCCCTGTCTGTGCACACACAGCTGCACAGTTTTTGCAGTGTGGGGGATTAAGCATCCTAACAGTTGGGCTACATTCACAGCCCTGACTCTTTTTAAGCTGTGTGTGAAATGATCTGTTGTCTAGCCAGGTCTCCCCTTAAGACCAGTGTGTTTCTCAACCCCTGCATCTTGTCTGCCTAAGGCAGCTTTGTTTTGGAGCCTGTCATATGCTGGAACCTTCCAGAAAGTTTTGTACACATCTGGAGCAGGCTGGGCCTGGGGAGGCAGCTGTGCAGCTCCTGCTCAGCACTGACTTGTGTTTGCACCGTAGGTGAGTGACTGGTGGGAGGAGTACATTTACCTTCGAGGCCGAGGCCCCCTCATGGTCAACAGCAACTACTATGCCATGGTGAGTTGGCCTTCCCGTGTGTTAGATCCTCCTATGCCTGAGGGGCCCTGCTCTCCACTCAGTTGCACTGCAAACAGTACTTGCTAAAAGTGTAGGCTGGCCTTGAACCTGTGGCCAGAGAGATGGTTGAGCAGTTTAAGAGCACTTGCCGCTCTTCCGGAGGACCCAGGTCCAGTTCCCAGCATGCATGTCAGGTGGTTCAGAACCATCTGTGAGTTGCAAGGGGATCTGATGTCCTCTTTTGTGTGTGGGTACCTGCACACATGTACACTTAACCCCACACAGACACACATAAAGAAAAAACGTTCAATCTGCCCACAAACAAATGACAAAACTGTCCAAATATGGGGAAATGGTATAACAATTTGGGAAGCTGTAAAGTCAGGCAATCCTGGCACTCAGGAGCCAGAAGCAGGAGGATTGCCTAGAGTTCAGGGGCAGCCAAAGCTATGTAACATAACCTGATCTGGGGGTAGGGGTGCAGGGCGGGGACCTAAAAAAACTAGACTAGCTGTTGGAACACCTTGGTGTCAGGGAGGGCCCCCACCGCGTGTACCAACCACCGCACTGTCCCCATAAGCGCTCTCCACTGTCACCCCTCACAGGAGTTGCTGTATGTCACCCCAACCCACATCCAGGCAGCAAGAGCTGGCAACACCATCCACGCCATACTGCTGTATCGCCGAAAGGTGGACCGCGAGGAACTCAAACCCGTATGTAAACTTTACTTTCAGAAACTTTTGGGAGGCTAAAGAGATGGCTCTGTCGATAAAGCGCTGGCTTTGAGAAAAGCATGAGGCCCTGGTACAGTGATGCCGGCCAGACTCACTGGTGCACGGCTGTAGTCCCAGCACTGGGGAGCCAGAGGCAGGCAAATACTGCACTTAATAACCGCCTAACCAGCGAAGTCCAGGTCCAGTGAGGGACTTGGTGAGGGCTGAGCACGAGTGTTTGATTCCGGGGGTTTGTGTGGTGGGAAGAGAGAACCAGCTCCTGCAGGCTATCCTCTGACCGCCGAATGTAGGTGATACACTGGTAAACTCAAGAGAACTGTTTCTTCATAAGCCCCAGGTGGCCTAAGTGTTTATCTGGAAGGAATGTCAGTACCCTGGCACGCCTCCACATGTCCCCCAGGTCCTGCCCCAGCGGACAACTGAGCGATGGAGTCAGACTGGGCAGCATGCGCAGGAAATGGGCAGCATTTTAATCAGCTCCTTTTAAGGTTTTCCTCTGGGATTTTTCTGCCTGTTGGTTTAAAACACGTTTTTTATTACAGATTCGTCTTCTGGGATCCACAATTCCACTCTGCTCTGCCCAGTGGGAGCGACTCTTCAATACTTCCCGCATCCCCGGGGAGGAGACAGGTGGGTGGTGCTCACCAGGGGCTCCCCTGGGACCCAGCATTCGCTATTCTGCTGCTCGGAACCATCGGGGAGTGTTGGGAGGTCAGATGATCTCAGGATCTATCCGGAGAGCTTCTGTTTCTGAATATTCCTCCACTTGGAATCTTCTTGTCTTTTGTCATTGGTAGCGGTTGGGAACAGGACCTCATGTGTTCCAGGATGGCCTAAAACTATAGATAGCTGAGGATGACCTTGAGTTTCTGACCCTCCTGCCTCCCGCCGAGATAATAGGCTTGCGTCATCTTGCCTGGAGTATCTGTTGCTGCGAATGGTACCCTTGGCTTTTTCCGTACTAGACAACGCCACTATCAACTGGACCCCAGCTCCAGCCTGAACTTCCTTTTTCTTCACTAGGCGTGGACAGTGGGCCAGTTTCCAGATTTTATTGTTTCTTCAGTTGAGAGTTTCTCTCATTGGGCCTTTTCCCCAGACCTGCTGCAATATTCCAAGATTACTTGGGCATCTCACTCTGGCCCACACGCAGGGTTTGCTGTAAAATACCCATGAGAATGAACACGCCTGAGGAGCTGGATCCCGGCCCAGCTGCTTGCTGTCGGCCGCCTGGCCTGGGCTGGTCATATAATCTGCTTCTAACCTAGGAAAAGACGGGGAGGGAAGACAGATCCTAGCTGGCACCGTGTAGGCCTGCTGGGTTCAACTGTACAGTATTGGTCACTCTTTAACACGGTGACAAAAATCTGAGCAAAACCACTCGGGAGGGAAAGATTTATTCCACCCCGTGGTTCCAGAGTTTGTGGTCCACTGTTTCTGGGCTGTGGAAAGGCAAAGCATTATGGGGTATGGGGGCATGTGAGGGAACAGTGCTCACCTCCGTCAGGCAAAACATAGGGCTCGAGAAACGGGACTCCTCGGGGCTGGCAAAATGGCTCAACACACGGATGTGCCTGTCTTCAAGCCTGGCACTTGAGTTTGATCCCAGGAACCCTTGTGGCAGGAGGAGAGAACTGGCACTTGCAGGTTGTCCTCTGCCCTCCCCACATGTACCAGGACATGCCTGTCCTCATACATGTTTGAGCCATCACTCAAGATAAAGAAATGTAGAGTTTTAAAACTTTGAACAGGACCCTTCAGAGATGCATGCCACGGAGGACATCTTGAGGGAGCTGGTTCTCTCTTTCCACCACGTGGGTCCAGGCTGGGCAGCAAGTGCCGTCTCCAGCTGAGCCCTTGTGCTGGCACCGTCGTGGTCTTTAATAGTATTGATCGTAAATGTTAACTGAAGTCTGGGTAACACTGGGTAGAGTGGCACATGCCTTTAACCCTAGCACTCAGGAGGCTGAGACAGGTGGATTTCTGTGAGTTTGAGCCCAGCCAGCTAAAAGCCACCTGAAATGCAACAACAAAAAATAATTTATTAAAATGTAGTGTGCCCGGTGGGGTCGTACACACCACGTGCTAGCATTCAGAGGCCTTTCCGAATTGTTGTTTATTCTGATTGTTTGCTTTTGAGACAGGGTCTCATGTAGCCCTGGAATTCGCTGGGTAGACCAAGCTGGCTTTGAACTCACAGAGATTCAATTGCCTCTGCCTCCTCAGTGCTGGGATTAAAGGTGTGTGCCACCAGGCCCAGCCTCTCTAGGTTGGAGCCATTTCTGTAGAGCCTTGCGCTGTTAAATCATTTTTAAGGTTTTTCATTGTGCTTGTGTGTGTGGTTGTGGGCGGGGCACAGCCACACTACAGCACTGTGTGCAGGTCAGATGATAGTGCTGTGGGGCTGGGATCACACTCGGGCCATCGGTCTTGCACAGGGGATGGGGGGTTCCCCACAAGTCATCTCCCTGTTCCTCTCTCTCCTTTTCTCCTTTTTAAGACAGGGTCTTAAGTAGCTCAGGTTACCCTCTAATTTGACATGTAGAGGCCAGCCTTGAACTCCTGATCCTCCCAGGGGTGCACCACCTGCCTGAAACATTTCATTTTTTTTTTATTTATTTTTTGTGTATTTTTGTGTATGTGTCAGTGCTTCTTTGTGTGTGTGTGCGCGCCCGTGTGTGTGCGAACATGAGCATTGGAGGTGCCCATGGGCCAGAAGAGGGCGCCAGATTCCCCAGAGCTGGAGTTGCAGGAGGTTGTAAACCACCTGATGTGGGTATTGGGAGCTGAATTCTGCCTGTGACTTTTGGGAGAGATGTCATTCAAACCACCACATGTGCCAACCATGTTTCATGGACGGGAAACTGAGACTTAGAAGGGTTAAGCCAAAGGGAGTGACCCGGTCCAGAGTCAAGGGCCACACACTTGTAATCCTAGCAGCCAGGAGGATCAGGGGTTCAAAGTCATCCGTGGCTAACCAGCTACGTGAAATCCTCAAAAAGCAGAACAGTCCGGGCTGATGCTCCCACCAAGGCCTTCTGACTTCTTGTCGCTCTCTGTGTCGTCACCACCTCAGACACCATCCAACACATCAAGGACAGCCGGCACATTGTCGTGTACCACAGAGGCCGCTACTTCAAGGTCTGGCTCTACCACGACGGGAGGCTGCTGAGGCCCCGAGAGCTGGAGCAGCAGATGCAGCAGATCCTGGATGACCCCTCAGAGCCGCAGCCCGGGGAAGCCAAGTTGGCTGCCCTCACCGCCGCCGACAGGTGTGTGCGGGACCTGGAGCACCCTCCCCGGCTCGGGGCTGCCTGGTGCTGTGAGAGCCCTTCCTCACAGTGCATCCCTGTGGCTGCCAGCAGCAGCGCTGGAACAGCCAGAGCACCGTTGTTCAGGGTTGCCTCATGGTGTCGAGTCTGGCTCCTGGGTGGCGGGTCACAGGGAAGCCGAATTCAGTGTGTGACAGCAGGTGTGGGTAGGTGGGGCCGACACCTGAGGGCAGAACTGAAGGCGGAGCCCTGTTCATCGAGCTGTGGACATAGGCGTTCATGGCTCAGACTGTGTGGTTGAGGCTGGCCTTAAACTCGGGGTCCTCCAGCCTCTGCTTCCCACATGAAGCCCCGTACCACCGCATCCAGCTAACCTCCTTCATTTCTTTCTCTGAGGCAAGTGCTTCACCAGCGTGCCAGCCCCAGGCCAGGGAGATGAGCTGTGTGCACACGTGTGTGCGGAGTGTACGTGTGCACTCAGCCAACACTGGCTGCCTTCCTCTACTGCTCTCTGTCTTAGCTTTGAAGACGAGGGCACCCCGGAGCCCGAGGTCACTGATTGGCTAGTCTAGCAAACCAACGAGCTCTCGGGCTCCTCTTGTCCCCACCTGTTAAGTTCTAGGATGACAGGGGAACGGCTACAAAGCCTCGTCTCAAGCAGAAAGTACCTTGCCCCCCGAGCCCCCTGAGCTGCTCTGAAGATGCTGTAGGAGCCGAGGCCAAGCGGCAAACACTGATAAAGACTTGCTGCAGGCATTCAGGAGATAGCAAGCTGTGTGTTGTTCGGAGCCTGGGACAGAGGAGGAAAACTGGGAAGTGTGGCACTATCCATGCTTTGTGTCCTGCCTCGAGAGCTGGAGTGCCCTGTGGACCCGGGGCATTTGTGGGGTTTGACACCAAGGGTTTTGAGCGGGGGGTGGAGGTGGGAAATGGAGGGGAGGCAGCGCAGAAAGCCTAGCGGCTGAGGACAGAGTGTGCCATGGGAGGAAGCTACGGCCGGGCAGCTTTGAAGGGAAAGTGGGCCCCACCAGTGTCAGCGGTGTGGTGGGCACAGGGTGGTCATCGTGGGTTATCATGTGATCATTCCTGGTCTGGGGTCAGGGGCCCAAGGGTTTCCTTTCTCCCGTGCTCCAGAGTAGTTGTGGCCTGATCTCTGTGCCTCGGATTTCCTCATCTGAAAGATGGGTCTATGGTGCTGAAGACATCAGCAGACTGATGCCTGAGAGAGTCTCAGGGCAGAGCCCGGCTCCAGGGCCAGGTCCGTCAGCATCTGCTGGGGCTTCTGCTGGGGGATGTCTGGGGTAGGGAAGGGTGCTTTTCCCTGGCTGGGAGGCACAGGCTGGGTTTCATTCTGAGCGTTTATTGTGTGTGCACACGTTCGTGGGTGTGTGCGCGGTACGGCTTAGGCACTAAGCCGTCCACACTGGCTTCGGAGACAGGGCCTCTTGCCAGCCTGGAGCATTCCCGTTTGGGTGGCCTGAGGATCCTGACTGTCCCCCAGGCCTGGGATGATGAGCAGGTACCACCACAGCGGGCTCCTTTGCATGGACTGCAGGGGTGAAATACAGGCTCTCCTGCTGACAGGCAGGCAGTGCTGCCTCCCGAGCCATCTGCCCACCCAGAGCGACTGTCTCTAGGTGCATTTCCTCCTTGCCACAGAGTGCCGTGGGCAAAGTGTCGGCAGACCTACTTTGCACATGGGAAGAACAAGCAGTCCCTGGATGCGGTGGAGAAGGCCGCATTCTTCGTGACTCTGGACGAATCGGAGCAGGGCTACAGAAAGGAGGACCCCGAGGGGTCTGTGGACAGCTACGCCAAGTCTCTGCTGCACGGCAGATGCTTTGACCGGTAACTCCCTTTTCCAGTCTCCGAGGCTGATGGGGGCGGTGGGAGATGTTCCTGGGGAGAGCAACCTCCCCATATCTGGCCCCACCCCGGGGGTTCAATGCTCTGCTTTCTTCCCTCCACCCAAACTCGCAGGCACAGCCCAGGCCAGGTGGATTTGCGATCCCTTCACTCACCCCACCTCCTTTCTTAACTATGCGCTGCCTGACTCCCTGCAGAAGCTGGCATATGGGACAGGGTGGGCTCAGTCCCGAGAGCCAGCGCTGGCCTTGGTCATGGTTGTGCAGCTGCTGTGCCCCTGCCCTCCTGAATCCCCTTTCTCCAGTTGCAAAGTGAGGAGGTGCCTCCCAGGCCTGGCTGGAGAGGGCACAGGCCTAGTCTCTGGCACACATGCTGTATTTTATCTCTGGTGCAAGAAGATATGAATGCCTGCCTGTCCCGTGTGTCCCTTTATAGTCACCTTCCTGGGTGTGGAAGCCTGGGGACTGTCGGGGCTGGGGAGGAGCCATTGGCTCGTGCAGGGAGAAACACATGTAGCTTTTGGGTGTCCGTGTCTCGGTGACCCCGGAAGGCTGATTGCGTTTTCTCCTGTAGGTGGTTTGACAAGTCCATCACTTTCGTTGTCTTCAAAAACAGCAAGATAGGCATAAACGCAGAGCACTCCTGGGCAGACGCGCCCATCGTGGGCCATCTGTGGGAGGTGAGCGACACTGCGGGGACCTGTTGTTGAATGGGAAAGGGCCCGCTTGAACCAGGCTTGATTTGTCTAATCCTCCATATCAGTTTCTCATCTCTGTGACCAATACCTGATGAGGGAGGAGGGGTTTCTTTCAGCTTACGCTTGGAGAGGGCACGGCCCAGTGTGGCCGTAGAGTGTGGTGGCTTCTTGATCACTTCTCAGTGCAGAGAGTGGACAGGAAGCCGTGCCCTGGCGGTAGAGCACAAGGCCTGCTCCCAGTAACTCACCCCTCTTAAGCCCATAACATCCAACACAGCGCCACCAGCTGGGGACCAAGCATAAACTGTGCTGTGCGTGGTGGTAGCTCAGGCCTTTGATCACAGCACTTGGGAGGCAGAGGCAGGCAGCTCTCTGTGAGTTCGAGGCCAGCCTGGTTTACAGAGCAAGTCCAGGACAGCCAGGGCTACACAGAGAAACCCTGTCTCCAAAAACAACCAACCAACCAACAAAAACACAAGCCTGTGGAGGGCTCTCACATTCAAACCACAGAACTGAGCTCTTCGCTGGTAGGAAGAAGGTGTTTGAGTCTTGTTTTCCTGTAACTGAGATTGTTTGAGCACTGGCACATGCGGTGTCTCTTTATGCAGCCAAAGTCACACAGTGGCTGTTGGCTCACACAGCTTGGTTTGTTCCGAACTAATAAGCTTGCTGCCAGACTTCCTGGTGTTAAAATCTGAATGTGTGTGGGTAAAGAAGAGGTGCCAGGGCTCAAACCCAGGGCCTCACATGTGCCGGCCAGGTGCTCCACACCAATGCTGTAATCCCCAGCCCTTATTCTGGAGATAAGGTCTCACTAAATTAAACATACTAGACTTGAACTCACTCTGTTGCCTCACATCTGGAATTCTCCTGCCTCAAACCTGTTGAATATCAAGAGATTCCAGGCAAATAGCACCAGTCCTGGCTTAAAATCCTGACTGTAATATGGCAGTGTACCGGGGCCAGAGAGATGCCGGGACGGAAAAGCCCTTGCCATGAAAGCCTGATGATCTGGCTTCAACCTCTGAAACCCACGTGAAGGCAGGAGGGGAATGCCTCATGCATGCTCCCCCCAACACACACACATCATAATAGTCAAATGAAAAGATTTAAGGTGATGTATCTTACTGAAGACACTTCAGTTACTAAAATGACCAGGGCACTTAAAGACCACCAGATCTCTGTCCCCCTTTCACCTAACCCAGCTTTTGATGTGTGACTGTCACCTAGTCCCCAGGAGGCTGAGGCAGAAAGATCAGGAACTTGAGGCTAGCTTGGACTAGAAACACAAAACCCTATTCAAAACAGAGAGGCAAGGAGAAAGAGAAGGAGAGCATCCTTGGGCCCAGGCTGCAGATGTGGTGTCTGCGTTGACTTCTCAGTCACGTATCTGTATTTCAGGAATCTGAAACTTTAAATGCTGGTGTAACTCAGCAAAGTTTAAATTTTTGGAAGATATTTGATTTCAGACTGGGGATGCTCTCTCCCTCTCTCCCTCCCTCTCTCTAGGGTCTCACCATTTAATCCAGGCCAAACTCTTAATTCATGGCAATGCTCCTGCCTCTGCCTCCCGAGTGCTGCTGGTTTATGGATATACGCCACCACAGCCAGCTAAGACGCCGCATCTCGGTCTCTCCTTGTGGTGCTGTGCCAAAGATTTATTTTTGTGTGGTGCAGAATCAGCTGCAGAGCGTACACTGTGTCTTCTTGCTTGAGCTCAAGCTCTGCCCTCTTCCTGGAAGGGAGGGTCTCGGCTGACCCCACGTCCCCCTCCCTCTTCAGAGTATGCTCCCTCCCCGAGGTCAGCAGCATCTGTCCCACCCTCATTTCCCTCATCCCTCCAGTGCTCTGTCCTCTGCTTGGGGTCTTGGCAAAGTCCCAGCCGCTGCTGCTTCAGCCCGGGAAGTTTCCTACATGGAAACGCCTGGAAAGGAAGAACCAGGCACTCTGAGCTATAAGATGCTAGTGTGCTCCTGAGATACCAATTCCAAATGGCAAAGTGCAAGGGCTCAAGTCCCCGCCAGGTCCTGAGCTGATGCCAGCTGAAGTGTGGACTCTCTTAGCCTAGATGCACAGATACCTCACTTACACCGCCGCTCACACAGATCTCTGGGAAGCTCTGCACAGTATCGGCCCGTCAGAACATCCCAGGGGCTTTTCAGATAGCCCATGCAGTTGCTGTTGGGTAACGAGGGTCTCTGCTGAGAGGGTACACGGTGGCGCATGCCTGTAATTCCAGCACTTGAGAGGCGGAGACAGGATTACTGAAAGCTTGAGGGCAGTCGGGGTCACGTGGTAAAAAACAAAAACACAACAGAAGCATGAAAAGAGAGATAGAGGAATCAACAAAATGTCCACCAGGTCTGGCTGACTTTAAGGTTTGTTGTCTGAATGTGCACATGAGTGCAGTACATTCGGCTACCAAAAGTGGGTAGCAGATCCCTTGGAGCTGAAGTTGCAGGCAGCTGTGAGCTGCGACCCAAACCTCTGCTAGAGCAGCAGGCGCTTTTAACAGCTGAGTCGCTCTGCGGTTCCCCAGGCTCACACTTCAGCTCTGCTCAAGATAAGGAGACACAGCCTGCGGCCAAGGCCACAAGTAGAATCAGTATTTAGTTTCCTGTCCACCTGATGATGAGGTCAGTATTTAGTTTCCTGTCCACCTGATGATGAGGGCGCGTGAATGGAGCCCAGGTGGGAGAGGCCTGGGGACCTGGCTCTCATCCTGGAGGCACAGTGCCGCATTGCCACCGGGCTGATTGTGCAAGGGGGAGCCTGGTGGAGGCAGGCCCAGTTTAGGCAGCATCCTGTGCGCTGTGGAAGCACCAAGTCAGGGTATCCTTGATTTCCTCCTCCAGAAAGGTTACTCTGCTAGAGCAGAGAAATGCCTGTGCTTCCCTCTTACTACAGAGGACACAGAAAGGCTGTGGCGGGCAGATGGTGCCGGAGATGCAGAGGTTCAGAAATACAGTTTTGCCCTCCCAGTGGTCTCTAGAAACCACGCAGCAGCCAACTGTCTGGGTGCTTCCTACTCTCTGCCCTCTGGCTCTTTTTTTGTTTTGTTTCATTTCAAATTTATTTCGCTTATGTTGAACTGAATTGGGCACCCACCGCACAGCCGGTGGGCACTGGGGAAGGTGCTGCTGGCTTGGTGTGTGGCGACCCTGCCCTTACGCCCAGGATTAGGCTCAGGTGTGTTTTGTCCTGGGCATGGTAGGAGGCACTGTGCCCTCTCAACATTTCTATTTGGCCTCTGCTTCTTTCTCCTCAGTATGTCATGGCCACCGACGTCTTCCAGCTAGGCTACTCGGAGGATGGGCATTGTAAAGGAGACACCAACCCCAACATCCCCAAACCCACCAGGCTGCAGTGGGACATCCCAGGAGAGGTAAGCCCGTTGATCCAGAGGCCGCCACTCACCTGGGGGCCAGCTCCGAGCTCTGTTGATAGGCAGGCTCTGTCTCTATGAGGCAGACAGAAAGCTATTTTCCCAGAGTTGAGGAAGAGCCCTGAGCTGCCTCGGGAAATTCGGCATCAGTTGACAGCTTTCTGCTGAGCTTTCCGCTGAGAAGTAGCTGGGCTTCTGTGAATCCCTTCAAGTAAGGACAAAAACTTATATCATAGCTGGTGGTGGCACTTGCCTGTAATCCCAGCACTTGAGAGGCAGAGGCAGGTGATCTCTGTGAGTTCGAAACAGCCTGGTCTACCAAGCAAGTTCCAGGACAGTCCGGGCTACACAGAGAAAACTTAACCTTCAAAAAGAAAAAGAAAACAGACGATAAAAGAACTTAAGTCATGTTGACTTGAAAACCTCTAAGTTTTGAGACAAGAGTCTCATGTAACCTAGGCTAGGCTAGAGCTTGCCCTGTCCCTGAGGACAGCTTTGAACTTCCAATCCTTCTGCTTCTGCCTCTCAAGTGCTGGGATGGCCAGTGTTCGCCACACCTGGGGTTTCTGGTTGCGGGAATGGCCCCTGGGGCTTTGGCACACTAGGCAAGGTCTCTGCCAATCGAGCTACATCCCCAGCTCCCAAATTGGTAATTTATAATCTTTCAAAATTTAAAACAGTGTTGGTGGCCGTTAGAGATTTTCGGGCTGTGTAATGAAGGGCTACTTCTCTCATCCCAGCCCCCATGGCTAAAGCAGGGGAACTACAGCCTGCCCCACTCAACATCCCTGCCCAGAGTGGTCTGTCTTGTCAGGCTCTGGCACATCACCAGATTACTGTTTATGTACAGTCGCCTCAGTGGTTGTGTAGGTTTGGAAGTCCTGTAGGGTCATGTGTCAGCTGTCATAGAATCAGACAGCAGCGTTACTGTCTAAACACCCTGTGGCCTCCGCCTGATCATCCACCCTCCCCCTCCCAATCCCGACCCCTGGCAACCACTGAGCCCTTTACTGTCCTTTTAAAATTAAGATTCTTAGCTGGGTGGTTGTGGCGCATGCCTTTAATCCTAAGCACTTGGGAGGCAGAGGCAGATTGGATGTCTGTGAGTTCAATACCAGCCTGGTCTACATAGTTAGTTCTGGCATCCAGGCCTACACAGAGAAATCCCATCTCAAAAAAAAAAAAAAAAAAAAAAAAATTTATTTGTGCTTCTAGAATTTAACACGTGTGAACAATGTGTTTTGATTATATCTATCCCTTCCTCTTCCTCCTCCTTCCACTGCCCCTTTCCCCTCCTCTACCCTCCTTTACACATCTTCCTCCCAAATTCATGACCTGTTTTTAAACTTGACTTTTAATTTGTGTGTGTGTGTGCATGCGCGAAGCTGCTGTTGGAGGCCAGAAAAAAAGAGTCAAGCTGGAGTTATAAGTAGTTGTGAGCCTCCTGATATGGGTGCTGGGAACTGAACTCGGGTCCTGAAAAGCAATAAACACTGACTGCTGAGCCGTTTCTCCAGCTCCTTGATAATAACAACAGTTCGCTGAGTCTGTTAGTGCTCCCAGTATGCTAGTGGGTGTGGGGCGGTGACCAGAGCATGGGCCACCTCCCAGTGACCACACCCCTAAAGAAAAATGGCACCATCGCCCTTAGCCATGGCTGCCAATAAATCTTCAGCTCAGGGTTGGGCCTGGAGCCCCTCCCTACTCCATGCTGATTTTATGCAGGAATGTTAGTAACCGGCTTGGAGTTCATGTGTGTAGGAGTCCTGTCATGTCCAGAAGGCATGTTTTTAGAGTGTCTCCTTTCCTCAAAATGAGCTTGCTCTGTACAATGGACCCACTGTTGCTGAAACTCCGTAGAGTCTGTGCTGGGAAGTCTTTCCCTGGGGAGACACAGTCTGCCCCTGACACCCCAGTGGCAAATCAAAAGTGTGATTCCAACACAGTTTGAGTTTATTGGGCTTGCTGGTAAGCCAGCCTGGGTGAGGGTTTACTTCCAGAAGCCTGGGTGACCCCAAGAGCAGCTGTACCAGAAGAAGGCCTGACTCAGCATGGATCAGAGCCCCGTAGATGGAGTTCTACTTTCTGGTACCCTCCCATCACCCACATAGTGTAGCATCTTTCAAGGTGACAAGGCAGCTTATGGTTGGGCAAAATCACATACAAATGTGAGGGAGATCTGGCTATGACCTTTGCCACCTCAGCACTCTCCAGGAGTAGGTAATTCAGCTGATCTGGCTGGCTATGCAGGTGTCACCTTCCCCTAATACTCCTTGTTTGTCCCTCCTGAAGCTACCCACCAAGCTCGAAAGAACTTCCCCTTGCAGAGCGGGGCTATCCTTCTATCAAGGGCAGAGAGCAGCTGCCCCTGCCTGTCAGCCCCTCCAAACCAGGAGCTGGGTCATAGCGGGAGGGGCCATCTTGGAAGTGTCTTACATATAACCCTAGCTGCTCTTGCCACGCCACCTGCCACTGAAGGACTGCTCTGCTGCATTCTCCATGGGTGGCAGGAGCTGTGGCTCCTGAGGGTTTCCCCACCACTGCTGGGGTGAGGTAGGGATGCTGACCTGTTGCTGAGCTGTGGCTTCCAGGTAGCCTTTCTAGAAGAACCCCAGAGAATGGGAAGTGCACATTTCCAAATGTGCTCCGTCCTGCTCCCTTCCGCTGCCCTTCCCCACTGAGCAGGGCCGCCTTCTCTCTCTGCAGTGTCAGGAGGTCATAGAGACGTCCCTGAGCAGCGCCAGCCTTTTAGCAAATGATGTGGACCTGCATTCCTTCCCGTTTGACACCTTTGGCAAAGGATTAATCAAGAAGTGTCGGACGAGCCCTGATGCCTTCATCCAGCTGGCACTGCAGCTGGCACATTACAAGGTAAGAGGGGATCCAGGCTCATCGTGGACGCCTTGGGGTCCCATGCTCACAAGGGCTGTGAGCCTAACATGGAGGGCAGCTCACACCAAACACCGGTCCTGCACGTCTCTGAGGTGCCGAGGCGTGAAATGTCACACTCAAGATCACCCTTGGCTTAGTGACAGCCCTCTCAGGCAAATGAACAGTTAAACCTTAAGATAGGGCTGGGAGATGGCTTGGCAGTTAAAGAGCACTTGTTGCCTTTGCAGAGGACTCTATTCAGTTCTCAGAGCCCCTGTATGGTGGCTCTCAACCACCACTAACTCCGGTTTCAGGGAATCTGATGCCACTCTTCTGGCTTTTCTGAACTCCTCCTACATACATACATACATCCATACATACATCCATACATACATACATACATACATACATACATACATACATACATACAT